CAATTTTGGGAAAAGAAATATTAATTAGCAACTAAAATGTTGTCTGCAAATGCGATACTACCCCCCCCCCAACTTTGGCCTCTTCGCTACGTGCCTTGAGAGAAAAGTTCACCATCACTGATGTATGGGCGAAATGCTATGTATAGCCTTTCTCCTCCGCAAAGGTTTTGGTGTTATCGAAGAAAGCGGGTTTCCCCGTCTCCGCCTGCGCGTCTTCCACACAGCGGTTCGATACGGTAAGCGCCATGTAAAGCTCTGCGGAGGAGAGAGCTATGTAGCCGTAGACAATGGAAAGTAAACGACCTTACGAGTCTTAACGAGGGTCAGACATGCATGTCAGTATTCAGCCAAATTTAAGTCTGTTGTCAGTAAGATATTTCGTACGATGTCACTCTGTCATGCGAAATTAACGTCATTAACACATTTTGTCAGTTTCAAATTTCTGTTTCATCATTTGTCAGCTACTAGAAGTTAAGATATTTTTACGATGTCAGTTCCGAATTGAGGTTTCATCATCAGTTGTTCTCTCAACTCATACTGCATGTCTCAAATTTAACCTGCGAGTTGACATAGAGCCTGTTCGCAGGCTAGGCGCAAAAACTAACGCCCGTATTCTAAAAGCTCACTCACACTCAATGAGTGGAAGTTCAATCTGAGCTTCTCTCAAGTGTCATTGCTGTCCTTGAATAGCTGGAGAGTGTCGTACCTTACTATGTGACTACACAGACTACCCACCCTCCAGCTATTTAAAAACAGCATTCACACTCATGGGAAAGCTCAGATTAAACCTCCACTCATTGAGTGCGAGTGTGCTTTTAGAATACAGGCGGAAGACCTTAAAAACACATAACGTCATAAGATGAGAAAAGCAAACATCTTGGGACTCAATATTTGAAGGAGAACCAAGACGAAAGTAAACTAAGGTTTAAAAAAAACCTCCTCAAACACTCGGAACAATGCCGGTGTTTTCATTCACGTTAAAAAGCGCATGGAAAGCAGCATGAGTATGCAAATTTTGCTTTTAAATTGAGTAACGATTCAGTCAATACCGAAGCCAATAAATTGACCATTAACACCATATATTTCCCTTCATTTCCATGATTTAATATAAAACAAATAAACGCGTGGAAGTGAAATCGTTCTCAGAAATGTTCACAATCAAATATTCCAAAGCATGAGTTTCGAAAAAGAAATTGTGAAAAATTAATGGACAGGAAACGAGATTAACACTAATCCCAGAAATTTCGTTTCCATTTTATGAAATACTTGGAAAACCATTTGATAATAGTCCACCGATGGTTAAGGTGAATATTTCATTCTCGCTTTCATTTTTAAGCCGATATTTAAAAAGTTGAGTTTGACATGCGTTATTTCATTTCACACTTCGCGTTGGTAGATATACTTGTTCATTACTAACATTGTACAAACTAGTCATAAATATGGACAAAACTAAAACTGAGAAAAAACACGGGAAAAGAACGCAGGTACGATTACATATCTTTAACATATACGTCAATTCAAACCGTACACGTAATAATCTTAAAGGCAATTTTCCATCGCAGTCGTTTTGCCCGAGCGGGACGAGTAAACATTACTCAACTTTCTCTGTAGTTGTCTATCCTGTGTATTTTTTGTCCGCCTGACTACTCGCAGACACGCCCCATAAAAGTAGAGCTACATTCAACTTTTTTGGCGTGTCCGCGCGACTGATTTTTCACGCGATTTAAAATTGGTCGCTCCACCCGTGCGGGCAAAGCGACTGCAATGGATAATTGCCTTAAGTGATCATCATCTTCTACGTCGTAACGCTTCACTTCCCACGACAAATATTATAGGCCGTTTAAAAATCATTCATGCATAACAGAATCATTACTTTCCAGTTTTGTTCGTGCAAGAATAGTTGTCAAAAAGGAACAGGCCGCAAAAGAGTAGGCTGTCCTTGTAAAGACGAGGGATTGTATTGTAGTGATGAGTGCAAGTGTGGTACAAGTGTCATTGTGTGTAGGAATAACCAACACAACTGTCAAACGAAGAGCGCTGGTGTCGAGTCTGATGAACTGCGAAAAAGTAGTTCAAAAACAGATTTGGTGACACAATTGTCAAACATGGTAAGTTTTTAAGAGGGTTTTCTTCTAGCACAGTGAAGAATTTGAAATACAAATGTAGTAAATGAAAGTGAATTTGTCTGCTAAATCGCAAAATGAAATTTAAGGTAACCAATTTAGGTTTCCTTGTAGAGAACACGAATTTTCCTTTCAACAAAGTTTTTGTTGATCTGTAAGTCCAGATCTTCGTCAGCGCAAGTAATACGTCATATGATGATCTTGTTCTCTTTATTATCCAACTACAGAAGGTGAGCGATGAAAGTGATGCTGGTATTTCTGACGAAGAATCGTTATCAAAACAAAGATCTTCTAGAAAGACAACATCAATTGTTAATGTATCTGTGAGACCAAGCCTCCCTCTTGAAGGTTTGAAGATTAATTGACACCTAACAGACCTATAGGGCGCTTTCCATTAACACGGCCAGACCGGTCAGAACGGTCAAATTGTTGAATGGAACACAAAACATTTGGGCTTCGGACCTATCTGACCGGAAAATTTAGATAACATTAGAATGAGGTTCATTTTCGCTAGATATTTGAGAAACATAGACCAGATCTTTCCATTGATACAGAGAAAAGAATTCGGGTCTGACCGGTCAGGACATTAAATGGAAAGCGCCCATAGTTCGATGTAGACAAAATGTTAGACGTCTTTTCTATCAGTATGCACATAACCACGTCCAAAATAAATTTTATCACGAGTGTTAGACGAGTTAAAACGTTTTAACATGCCATGGAGTTTCTGCCTAAACACATAATTATTTTCAGCTAAAAAGCGACAGCACAGAATCAACAACGGTTATGCCTTGGTCATACACAACAAATATTTCGATAAACTCCGACAAAGAAAAGGATCTGAAAAAGATCTAGAAGCAATAAAAATCTTCTGTGAAAAAGCGGATTTGACAATTGATATTCGAGAGGGTCTTAAAGTGAACGATATACGCATCCTTTGCCGTCAACTCAACGAAACCAGAACATTTCAGAACCATGATGCGTTTCTTTGCTTTATACTTAGCCATGGAAATAGGTAAATACTTATTTATTAATCTATTTCATATTTTTATGTGGTTTTTTTTTTATGTATCCACCTCAACATTCACTGTGAGAAGAAACTGAAGAAACCCCACGACTTTCGGTAGAGCCTTGACCCGCTTTTTTCAGATCAATGTCCGCAACGAGGAGAATGGACCAATCCCCAATTAACCAAAATTTTGAACTCAACAAGTCTAGACAAAATTTCATCACAGCTTGAAAGAGCATCACAAAATTAATAATATTCCAAAGTTTCGTTGCAAAATGTTGTAAAATGCGGATAATATAGCCTTGTAAAGTTTGCTGTTTTTCAGTCATTTTGCATTACGCACGGACTGGTAACCATTTCCCGTTCGTAATCTAAAATGACTGAAAATTGCAAATTTCGCAAGGCTATATTATCCGCATTTTACAACATTTTGCAACGAAACTTTGAAATATTACTAATTTTGTGATGAAATTTTTGTCTAGACTCGTTTAGTTCAAAATTTTGGTTAATTAGCTATTCCGAAGTCGACGAGAGGACTGGGGACGAGTGTTAAAAAGTGCCCAAATTAAGAAATGAACCAAATCACTAAAAAGACCACCTCAAAATGAGTAAGTATACAAAGTTTGAAGACGTTTACATGAATACCCTTCGAATAATAAGCTTTCGAAAATCACGATATTTACTATGAAATGCACTGTAATTTTTGTTTTGGGGGACGCGCGTCCCAAAAACAATCTTTTAATCAGTAATTTTACAATTTCCGAAAGCTTATTATTCCAAGGGTATTCATGTAAACGTCTTCAAACTTTGTATACTTACTAATATTGAGGTGGTCTTTTTAGTGATTTGGTTCATTTCTTAATTTGGGCACTTTTTAACACTCGTCCCCAGTCCACTCATCAACTTCGGAATGGCTAAAATCCATTGAAGCCACATTTTCAGAGGTGAAAGACGCTTGCTGTGATGATCGCGATGAACCCCTTACTACTACTACTACCAGATCTATTCTTCGCTAAATATATCTTTCGTTAAATAGGTCTGGCATTTGTGGAGCGTACGATGATACAATAAGTGTACATGAAATTGTTTCGTATTTCAAAGAAAATAACGACCTGTTGGGAAAGCCAAAACTGTTTTTCGTTCAAGCGTGTCGAGCGAATAGTGACGAGGTCGAAGATGATGGTTGTGAAGGTGGTCAAGAAAAACGTTTATGCCCACAAGACTCATCCGATACTCTGGTGGCATATTCAACTATCAAGGGTAAACTATCATACAGGCAAATCTGCACAGGATCCTGGTTTATTCAGACATTGATGAAGCAGTTTAAAGCGCATGCACAAAGCTCGCATCTGATGGATATCATGACTGTAGTAAATGAAGATATAGCTGGCAGTGATTAGAGGGTTATAGGCAGATGCCAATGCAAGTCTCAACTCTGACAAAGTTTGTCTATTTCAAGATGGCGACAGTCTAACATTCTTTAACAGGAACTAACTGGTCATGTGTTCACATTGTTCGAGGAGTCTGACAATGATGAGTCTAGGGGCACGATTAAATAGAGAGATAGATGGTTTATCAATCATACATATAGCAGCTCGAGAGCTGACTTGAGTGATAGTTTCATTGATAAAAGTTATAGAGTAAAAATTACCTAAGTATTTACAATTCTTTCAAAATATATTCTTTGCTTGTATATGACGTCACTACGTGTCATTAGGCGCCATCTTGGTTGATTTTAAAGTTTTGTCCAGCCGTTTACATCGAAATAGTTGAGTTACTTTAATATTTTTGTTTTGTTTTGAAAACGTCTTACTGTATTATGGATAGTTTACGATTTTCTGGCACAATACGACAAAGAATGAAGAATATAGATTTTTAGATGTTTTGAAAATCAACCAAGATGGCGTGGATTGCAAATGAGCAATACATATAAGTTGTAGAACATACTATATGAAGTAGCCCCGATTATTTACAATTATATTGGTTATTGACACTGCTTGGAATAAAATTGCCACTCAACCTCTTCAGTGGGAGTTTTGACACGTGGATGGATAAAATGAAACTAAGCTATCTTCGACCCCCTCCCCCCCTGCTAATTTGAAATTTGCTGTTGTCCAGTTACCTATATAGACAAGAAGCTCGTATACACTTTAATAGCAATGTATTGCATGGTTTAAACTTTAAAACATTTTTTCTAAAAACTGAAGCTGGATCACTCTACTCACATCATGCATGGATGGAAATGCACGATTTACGTTTCTTTCACTTAAGCTTTGCTGTTCTAAGATTCTGGGATGAGAGTAGGGTTGTTTACCATCTACATGGAAAACCCATCCGGTTTGAAATTGTGCTAATGGTAAGCAATATTTCGGATAGAAAATCACATTCGGATTATGGGCTTTCCATTTAGAGTGACTGACCGGAAGGTACTGAAGTATTTCATAACTCCAATTGTTCAATCGAGAAGAGCCTGGAACTGGTGAAAAATAAAAAAGATGTAAATGGAACAAAATTCACCGGTTGAAACTTTCCAATCGGTAAGAGAGGACAACCTTTTCAAACAAACCGTTCATTCCGGAAAAGTTCCGGTTGGGCCCTCGAAATATGCTTGTTCCATTTACTTTCCATATGGAATCACCGGAATTTCCATGTAAATGGTAAACAACCTAGCAATACACAGGTTAAACCACCTACTTACAGCACATAACAGGCCGGTTATGTGTATTTTATTAATTGCATGCACGCTTAAACGAAGCTGCTTGTTTAATACAACAACCTGAATCTCCTCAAACACCACTAACAATGATATTTTTATTAAAGGTTCACAACGGCGTATATCATTCAGTATGACCATGTTAATTATTTTTACAAAAGAAATACGTGCATTAATTGATTACATTAGAAATTATGGTCATGACGTCTAAGACGTCTAAGTGCATGAGTGTTTTGTGTTCTTTAAATTATTATGTGAGTTCTTGAAACAATAATATAATAACAAATATAAAATTGCGAAACTATAGTAGCTGCAGGTTTAAAATGAAACTTAAGTGTTGTTATGCATGCAATATTTTTAGTCAAAATAGTTAAAACTTTAGTTTAAAGCTGCAGGTAATCCTCGTGGAGCTTCAGTTGATTCTTGTGGAGCTGCAGGTGTTTCTCCCGGAGCTGCAGGTGATTCTTGTGGAGCTGCAGGTGATTCTCCTGAACCTACAGATAATGGAGCTACATGTGATTCTTCTGATTCTTGTGGAGATGGATGCTTTTCACTGGACTTGAACGCTTCGAAATACACAGCCTTCCTTAAAGTGCTCGTAAAACACGACATTTGTTTCTTGCCCTTTTTAGACTCCATTCTGCCAACCACTTCGTTGATTACAGCAAGCATGTCGGTCAAATTCATGTTGTGTGCATGCTTGTTTAAAACCTGCGTCAACGCAAGGATAAACCATGACCCCGTTTCCTTATTTCTATAACATTTGTACCGCTCAACGGTTGCATAAGCAACCAGTATATCAGCTTCGGTGGGAACTGTAAAACGAACGCCTCCAGAATCGCTTTCCACGTCGTCATCGCCACCGTCATCACCTGGCTCAGAAACCCCTTCGCCTTTCAGGGGTCCTCTGCAATTCTGGGCGAAGAAAAGTTTCGGTTTGCCCACTAAAGTGCGATACTGACCATTGCAATTTGGTTTAAATAGATCAACGATATACTCAACGGGAATAGTCTCACCATCAGATCCTACAATCGCCCCTTTCTTTCCATGACTTGAAATGAAACAAATAAATGCATCGTACGAGCTGAAATCTCCTTTAGAAATGGTCTTGAAAAATTTTTCCATTTCTTCTGCCGTGAGGTCATCTGTTATTAGGTCGCCGTTATGATTGAATTTTAGGGCGCTGGTATCTTTTAGCTTTAGGCCTTCGATATCATTGACTGTAAACATAGCATTTTTACAAAATTTCATTATATTCTCTCTGTCAGCACGAGCGCCGTTACGGTCCTCACGATATTTGAACTCTTTATTGACGATAACCAATGCAAAGCCCTTACGGATTTTGTGCACATTTAGGTTTAACTCGGCCATTTTTGCCTCCAATTCGTCCATGACTGCGGATTAAAGTAAAATACACATTGGACCATTTGCATTATAGACTAAATTTTGATCTAGACAAAAATTTCATCACAGCTTGAAAGAGCATCACAAAATTAGTAATATTCCTAAGTTTCGTTGCGAAATGTTGTAAAATGCGGATAATATAGCCATGCGAAGTTTGCCGTTTTTCAGTCATTTTGTATTACGCACGGGAAATTGACAGCCCAATCGGGTGTTGGGGCATCAATTTCCCGTTTGTAATCTAAAATGACTGAAAATTGCAAATTTCGCAAGGCTATATTTTCCGCATTTTACAACATTTCGCAACGAAACTTTGGAATATTACTAATTTTGTGATGCTCTTTCAAGCTGTGATGAAATATTTGTCTAGCTCAAAATTTAGTCTATAATGCAAATGGTCCATTGAATAGGTTGTTTCTGACTTTGTCAATCTGTTATAACTTTTGACACATTGAAATGACATAAATTTAGCATACGAATTGTCTCATATGTGAGCTAGGCCCTATGCGTTGAAATAAAACAAGTACAAGCATGCATGCATGGAATTGACGAGACGCTAGCCTGGTTCGCGTTTCTTTTGCTTCGCCGTTCTTTAAGAGTTTCTGGAGCTAGGGTGAGATGCAGGCTCAACATATATAGAGCACATGCAGTCGCTGGCCGGTATATATATATAGGTATTTTTATCAAACTAGCTTTTTGCATATAGACGAAGCTGTGCGAAATATTTTTAACACAATAACTTTTTAAACGCTGATTGATTGAGGGTATAAAAGCGTATCGGAAACCCGCATGGATCATGGTAATTATTTCAACAAAACATACATATGTGTCATTTAATGTAATTGAAAGAATTAACGTCGGAGTATAGGTTCAGTTTAGGTTAACATGAAAGTGAGATTTCTTTGAAAGTATGAGTACAGTAAACCATTTAGTGACACTCATTAGTATAATAATTCAATTTCAGTGAAATGATGATTTACTTGAAATTTAACTAAATTTCCTCACCAATGTCAGCAATCCTACTCAATGACAATGTTGAGTCAATGTGGACAATGACAATGTTGAGTCAGTATTGCTATGTTATATATATATATATATATATATGGACATAAATACATTACTGAAATAGTACCATACAGTACGCCATTATTGCTATGTTAATCTAAAAAAGCAACTACAGGTTATTTGGAAATGCCGGAAATTGGTGGTGATTTTTGTATCTAAAGATTGCCAGCCTTGCATTGTATAGTTATATATGTACATCTAAATGTACAGCATTTCCTGTACAAAGATCAGTAAAAATCTGTTTTCGTATACCTGGCTTAGATTCCGATCGTTTTCCGTTACAACAACTCGCTCTCAATATTTAAGACACTGCCACTGGGGATCGCTGCAGTTGAATAATTTCACTCCTCGGAAGGCGTGGTTTTACTGGTTGCCACGTCGTCGTTCCCAGGGCTTCTCGGCTATACCGCGCGGCCACCCTTAGCACCCTAGTCTCTAGGCCTCTTATGACACCTTCTCATTAATAAACAGTCAAAATCAAATCACGGGAAAATGCGTGGACAAGGGACTTAAGACTACACACGTAAAAACGCACAAGTTGTAAAAAACCTACAGCAGACTTGTAGCAATGCTGTTCCAACAACTTGTCAACAGGATGTGTTCGCACTGCTTGTTCCCAGCTTGTTGACAAGTTGTCAACGGCTTGTTGACAACTTGCTACAAGATTGTTGAGTTCAGCAGACTTGTTACAAGTTGTTCCAACAACTTGTTATCGTCCTGCAATTCAACAAGTTGTGAGTGATAACCTTGTAGCAACTTGATGAAATAACAACATTGTTACAACTTGTTGACAAGCTTGCTACAAGCCTGTTGCGAACACATCAGACATTTCGAGAAACTCTGACAAAGAGAAGGATTTGAAAAAGATCTAGATGCAATAAAAATCTTCTGCAAAAAAAGCGGATTTGACAATTGATATTCAAGAAGGTCTTAAAGTGGATGATATACGCAGATCGTCCTGCAATT